ATTCGTGGGATGGCAAATGATTAAAGTTTATGGCTTTTCTCAGGTGCAATTCACATTGCAAACCGGTTATGCTGCTCAACTGTGGCATTGTTGTATCATTATTCGGTAATAGCGGCATTTTGCTGGATGTTGCTAGAAGGCCTTCATTTGTACTTGGCATTAATTCGAGTGAGTCGGTACGGGAATTCGTTGCTCCTTATACATTCTTGGTCAGCAGGTGTTTGAAACAAAAACACGCATTCTACCATTTTATCTGTTTTCATATGGTTTCCCAGCCGTCATTGTTGGTGTGACAGCCAGCGTAGCTTGGGATGACTATGGAAGTGATAATGGGTGAGTCTGTTTTCGTTATTTGACAGATAGTTCGCTCCTGTATTTAGCTGCCTTGTGTACCCGCCAGCGTTCTGGGCTGTCTGCATACCAGGTCTTGCAGTTATTTTGGTATTGAAGTGCAATTTTTGCTTATCAACATCATTTTGCATGCCTTCTACTGCAGGCAAACGTGATTATCCTTTTCATTGCGCTGAGAGTGGTTTTATCGACAAATAGTCGTGACCGTAGCAGACTAGACAGACTGCTCGGATGGTTAAAGGTGTGTTCTGCCTATGCTCGACGTTAAATTTGCACTCAATTCAGGGCTCTGCCACACTATTGTGCATACTTGGCATCAACCATATATTTTACTTTATCGCATTAGTAGGCATTCCCCCGCAACAGCTCTATATTTGGATACATAGACTCAATAGTTTTCAAGTAAGTTGATGTGGACAACGCTTTACATGGAAGATATTGCTGCACTTGTCTCAGAACTGTTATTCTGCTTGCAAAAAATCCAAAAATCTTTCGAAACGAGTTCGCAACTGAGTTTTGCAGGTTTTTCGTCATTTTCTCCCTTCGCACTTTTGGCTTTATCTACCAGCTTGATCCAAAATGGTAATGAATGACCGCGGTATAGTGAATTTGGGAAAACTCGAGAAGCACATTTCGAATTGCGCAAGGCTAGCCCGGGACGGCGTTGTAACATTTGCACAAAATCCAAGTGAAGTTTGAAGCTCAGTTCTTAGAAAAAT